TTTTTTTTTGTAAACGTTAATAATCTTTCGTTGCCAAAGATGAAATTGGCAAGTAAGAAAACGCCTGAAATGCCTTTTTCAGACAACACGCATTATCTACAAGACCTCTTTACGATGTTTTTTTAAGTATCATTTAGATATGTATGTACTTAATAAAACATCTTTATATTTTTATAACGTCTTTAGACATACATGTTGTATAGAAAAGGCATTTCAGGCGTTTTCTATTCACGATGCAAAATACAAACAAGTATACTCGAGAAACAAATATAATATATACGGAATAAAATACAATATATACGGAATGAAGGTCAATGTGTTACAAGAAATTCGGACTTTTCTTATAAGTTAGTATCACAGTTATAAGATTTTTTAACTTACATATCTACTTCGCAAACGCTTGTGGTGGTATCTGTCCACGTTTGAAAAACTCTTGGAAGGCAGCAATTGCACTGTCGTAGATCCACTGTGTTTCTTGTAAGCACTTTAAGCTCCATTCCAAATTCATATTTGTCTGCTGACTCAACATTAATGTCATCTGCTTCTTTACTTCATCATTGAGTTCCGTTGGTGCAGGTTTCGCTACTTCTGTGGAACTCAGCGTCTCCGTTTCTGGTTGAATTTGGGTATTCAACTGATTCAGTTGCTGGCGCAATTCCTTCAATTGCGCCTCAGATGGTTGACTAATATGCAATTGCTCATTTCGAATACAATATCCTTCACCTTCCGGAACGATTGTGAAGGTGCGATTGAAGTAGCGAATGAGCTCTTCCCTGTTATCGAGTTGTTGGAAGTAACCCGTTATCGTAATAAACATAATTGTTTGCTGTGGATAAATAAAAATAAATTATAAGTCTATCTTTGTCTCTTATATGTTTCCTTATCTCTTATATAATATGACACATTACAGTATATATGACCATGTAGCAATAAATAACTACTTACTGTAACAAGAGAAAGGTCCATGGTAAAAGTATTCAGCAAATGCCTTGTACGCGGCATTTCTGATATGAAAGATACTACAGGTAATCTACCCTGTTTCAAAAATTTCTGCCTTCTGACTGTATCATTGATTCTGAATAGGTTTCGATTCTCCAAGTAATATCCATTTAACCTGTAATAAAAATAATTTTGGTTAAACAATTTCCGATTGTATCATCACTTAATACTAAGAATATGAAGAATATATCCATAGCACAAGAACACTTTTAAAATCATTCTCTAGTCTTTTCTTATAATATAAGAACGTTTTTAAGAATAAATTTATATTAACATGTATAGAGACATTCCATTCTTTTCAAATTTTTTCACCATATAGATTTCCTTAATTTTCTAAAATAGCTTAAATCTTTTAAAAAGAAAAGTTTTAGATAATTTAATCGCGAACAAAATATGAGAAGTTTGAACTATATTCTTCATATAAAAAGTTAAAAAAAA